TAAGACCACACAAGACTGCACCACTCCAAATGGGGTTCTATTAAATTGTGTGTGTGTTTTTTTTTTTTTTTGCTAATTCTATTTGAGTTTTTTTATTTATAAGTTGTTTATTTTTTGCGACTGGTGCGGAGGCAACAAAGAACAAACGTTATTAATTTGACGCACACGAATGGATCCGCGCACGGAATCGTGGGATCCATCCACACAGATTTCACCTCGCTGCACAAGCCCAAAAAGCTCACCTGCTTGCTATCACCTCTGAAATGCCACTTGCGATGCACCTTGAGCGCAATCACCTGGGGGAACGTCTTGGCGCACAAATCGCACGCGTATTCCCCATTCTCGTTCTGGCGCTCCACCTTGAATTGGCCAACATCGGCGGGGCCATCGTCGAACATGGCCGCCAGCGGATTGTCCACATACAGATCCTGTTCGTGCTTCTGTATGTGCTTGGTGAACATCTCCTGGTCGGTGAAGCGTGCCCCACAAATGGTGCACGCCACCTCCGGTATCCGTATCTTCATTGTGCTCGCGCTTATCGCATTTGGATTGCTGCTGCTTGTGCCGCTGGTGGCCACCGCACCGTTGCCAGCACCGTTGCTGTCGCTGCCCACGCCACCATCGTCCACCAGCATCAGCTGATCGTCCTCCTCCTCATCGTCATCGTCGCCCGTCTTGTGCTTGAATATGGCGCGTTGCTGTTGCAGCTGCTGCTGCTGCTGTTGGTGCTGCTGCTGCTGCTGCTGGTCCTGCTGATGGGCGCCGGTGGCAGTGATGGGCTTCCGGTTGCAGGTGGGCGTGTGATTCTCCAGCATCTGTCGATCGAAGAACATCTTGCGGCAGAGCGTGCACTCCACTGGATCTGGCACCTGCGGATGCTTCTTATAGCGATGCACCTAAGGAATACATATATTTACATATAGCAGCTGTCTAGTCTGCAATCCACAGCTTGGATTGGCCACACTCACCCAGAGGCTCTTGCGTCCGCTGTAGACATTGCCGCAATCCTTGCACGAATAATCATTCGAATCGAACTCGTCGTGCGAATTGATGTGGATGGCTAGCTTCTTGTTGGTGTTGAAGTTGGAGGGGCAGTACTTGCACTGGTACCAGTAGAGCGGCAGGACGGCGCCCGCTCCGGCCCCGGCACCGCCCGTGCCCGTGCCCGATGTGTCCGCCAGTTCAGCAGCTGAGGTAGCGGTTGATGATTTGGTTGCCGATGATTTGGAGGCAGCATCGTGAGACTTGTGCACGCTGCGCTTGTGCTGCTGCAACTCCAGCTCCGAGCTGTACACAATGGAGCAGATGTCGCACTCGAACTGCTTCACAATCATCTCGTCCTTGATGGCCCGCCCGTGCACCTTGAACAGATGCACCTTCAGGCCCTTCTCGTAGGCGAACTCCGCATTGCAGAGCTTGCACTTGATGAACTGCACGTTCTGCACCTGATGGTCGGTGAGCATGTGATGGCGATACGATTTCTTCGAGCTGAATCGCCGCTGGCAGATGCGGCAGCGCATGCGCCGAAAGCGACGATCCGCCGCCTGGTCCAGACTGCGCCGGAACACGGCCTGCTCCTGTGGCGTCTGATGCACCATGGCGGGCGGTAGTCCACTGGCTGTTGTTGATCCTCCACCAGCTCCACTGCCGGCTCCAGCTGCACTTGTCGCTGCCGTTCCTCCTCCTGCGGCTCCAGCTGCAGCGCTCGTCGACGTTGCCGCCGTCGTGTCCAATGGCGGCGTTGCGGTAATTGTCAAAGATTTGGGCGTCATGCGATTGGCAGCCGCCAGCGCCGCATTCGTTGCCGTTGCGGCCGTATAATGCGAGCGCATGTGATTCGATAGGCCAATGTTGTTGCTGAACACCGCATTGCAGATGAGGCACTCCTTCTGCTGGTTGGCAATGCTCATGTTGATGCTGCTGTTGTTGCTGCTGTCATCCAGTCGCATCTTTTTGGCAACGCTGCCGCTTTCCTCCTCATCCTCATCTGTCAAGAGTGGCGGGGGAGACCGAAAGAAAGAGAGAGAGAGAGAGAGAGAGGGGAGATCATTAGGACAAGATTTGAAATATGGCTTCAATAATCGCCCCAGCTTACATATAGGCCTATATATACACACACATATATAAACAAGTAATATCTGAACAATAGTCATTTTATATGAGAATCGCATGGAAAGGCGCGCCTAGCTATGCACACATCTGAATATGTCTAAACATCATATAACTATGAGAATTGCATAGAGCGGCAAGCTCAACTCTGAACGGGTCTAAAGTTTAATTTACTTGAATTTAAAAACTGATGCGAATCGCATAGAACGGCGCGCTAAATCTAAACATGCTCGCATTTCAATTGAAGCAATTTCTCTGATATTCCACTGAATCTTTCCTAATATGTAGATATTGCCCATATATATGTGTGTGCATATATTCAGCAGAAAGCATGTTGCTGGATGAGTAGGACATTGGCACACAGGACTTCACAGACTGGGTTGATGGATGTGATGGGGGGGTCGCCAAACAAAAAATTACCGAGTGTCCCACCATTTGTTATTGACATCAGATCCTTCATCACATAATCATAACGGCCCGTGTAGACGTTGGGCATGCTGCCATCCGCCAGCTTGACTGCATCCGCATTCACAATGTACTCGAAGCCGCCCGAATGACGATTCTTGTCCACGCCATGCACATTGATCATGTGCTCGCGCAGATAGGAGATTCGCGGATAGCCCAGGCCGCAGCGCACACACTTGTACGTTTCGGGCAGCTTATTGGGATGCTTC